CCACCATTACGGAGAGGGCGCCCACCGGGATGGTCGTCGACGGCGCCGAAGACTGCGCTGACGTCGAGTTGAAGTAGTTGTTGGTCGAGGAGCTGGTGGTCACCCGATTGGTGGCCACAGTTGTGCCGGAGTTAGACATCTCTGCGGAGGAATTGGTTGACAAACAAATGCCAATTGGCTTCAGATCTGCCTTTTGGGGCACTGCTGTCGATCCAGAGGGAGAGGTCACCGATGATATGATTGGCATCTCATCAATGCCTCAATACCTGTTCAGACCACAGATCTGTTGAGTGAGTCGTCGCGACAATCAGTCAATTGATTGACGAATTGTTAATTGGATTGATATTAGCGTGCATTCAATGGATACAAATGTCACACCATTTATGGCCACATTCTCACCACTTCTTCACAATCATCGCATCAGACACTGACTCATGAGATGCGCACATTTGGTGCTTATGATGGTGGCGTACGGGATCAGTTAATTGTCACTCATTTGGACCTATAATTCAATGGTTGTCCACTGCGTTAAGACAGACATCAATGCATTCATAATATTATGTTATTATGTGTTTGTATTGAGACTATTCAGTGATAGAGAGACCACTCAGTCATACAGTCATACAGTCATTGCATTGAGTCGTATGGACGCCAACACTGGTGGAGGACATGACGTCAACTTAACTCTGCGCTCCCATTGGCCCACAGCTCACACTCACAGCAGTTCTACTGCTGTTTCCGCCACACATATAGGGCTAACACTGCACTACAACTACATTCACTACAAACCACACACATTACGTCCTCCGGGGACACCTCCCCCACCGCCCCCTCCAACACACTCCGCACTCAACACACTCTCGAATTCCTTTCCATTTCAATGACGTTATGTATGAATGAATGGTCGCTCTAATCATGTTTTCCATTGCTTTTGGTTTCTGTGTTCAGTGAATGGCTCTCAATGTGAGGCATCTATTCATACATCAAAACACTATCTCTTCTCTAATCTTGTCTTACATTTGATGACAAATTGATTGCATTTTTATCATTCAATTCACTNTACATCAAAACACTATCTCTTCTCTAATCTTGTCTTACATTTGATGACAAATTGATTGCATTTTTATCATTCAATTCACTGAATGCTTATATTTTGCACTAAACTATGTTTTGGTCGCTAATTGTCTCTATATTTTGAAAAATCATTTAAATTTCGTTACAAAACAATCGATTCATTCGTACATTAATTACGACAACAATTGCATTGAAATGAATGAAAGTTTGCAAACAAATGTCAAATGAATTGAATTATACAATGAAATCATTTATTGGTTAAAGGGTTCATAAAATACAATCAATGGATGAGATAATGAGTGCAGAGATCCTATGGTCACGCTTTAGACGGCGAGGTAGAGGACGATCGGGCAGTGATCTGATCCGAGCACTTGTTTCCTGATTTGGTTGTCGCAGATGTTGGCCACGAGTTGGTTGGAGACCACGAAGTAGTCTTTGGATAGAAATACAAATTTATGAAACTATACGACAATACTGTATATATAGTGAACACATATATAGTGAACACATCCCATCCCATCCCATCCCATCCCATGAGCCATACCGAGTCGCCAACCGATGTCTTTGTCCCTCGCGTTCCTCATATAACTCCAATACGTGTAGCACTTCTTGTCGTTGGGGTAGAAGTGTCTGAAAGAGTCGAC